TTGAATCTGAGTAGTCTAAACAGTAATAACATTTTGGATAACTAAACTACTGACGTTTTATTTGGTATATTGAAAGAGTTTTTGATGAAATTGAAATCAGAATTAAAAATGAAATCATAACCAAAATTAGAATAAAATTGAATTTTAAAAAGGTGCTTGGTATGAAAATGAAATCTTATATAATTTTAATAAATATAAATATATATATATTTAAAATAGGAAAAGACCAGAGTGCCCTCTTCCCAAAATAAAAAAGACATCCCCCGTCCCTTTCATCTTCCCTCTCCTAATTTGGTGCACAAAACTAGTGATGGCCACCACTAAACCCACCCCAACCTTTTTGCACCATCGCACAAAATTTGCAGCAATCATTATATACAAAAATCTAAGTGAAGATTGATGCTTGCTATGCACAATTAATACCAAAGAAGTGGTGGCTGGGGGAGAATGAAGGTGGAGGTCGGAGAAGCTCATCTTCTTGTTCATCAGTAGTGAATGATTCATTGCCTGGCAAGCGACAGATAAAATAGAAGGGGAAGAAGACAAAGGAGAGGGAGCCACTGATCAAGAAATCAAAACCTCTCACGCCCATGAAATGGCCAGTCGGTGGGCACAGAAGAGGCGGAGGCAGTGGTTGCAGGTCACGACAGTGGTGGATCATGATGGTGCTTCCATCCTTTACCATTGCCAACAACAAAGCGATGAAGCTGGGGATCAAGCAAATTTTGACTGCGGATCAAAGAGTTGAAGGGTAGGAGAAAAGATTGAATTCCAAAGAGTTTGCTCCGATTCCATAGATAGAATAATGGAATCTGATTTTGCCTTTTTCCCTTGAATCAGGATTCCCAATAATCCTGATTAATGTGTACCAAATGTTACTCTATCCAGATTCCCACCCATTCCTTTTCCATATTCAGGATTCTGCACTACCAAACGGTGCCTAAGAGCATTTCACTCCCAAGAACTTCTGAGAATGAGATATAATCAGTTCTGTGAACCTATGTAGTCCGAACGACAACAGGCGTGTTTGATAAGACGTGATCTTATAATGTTTGCAACATGTTATCAAACACGCCTGCTGTCCTGGTGAACTACTGTCCAGGGTTGAGTCATGTCTTCCTAAGGATTCGTGTGAGATAATCATTTCTAGATCTGCCTACTCTGAAACAAGATGCCCTCTAAAGGTGTTTGATAAGATGAATGGGATGATTTTTCATGCAACAAGCTGTTCTATCTGAATATCCAAATATGATCACGACATAGTTACGATTCATGTCTGCCATCAAAATACACATATAATCTATTCTACAGCACGAATGCTGAATCATACTGAGTATAGGTGAGTGGAAAATTCTAGGTCAAGGAGGGAAACGGCAGATTGAGATCAAACCCAACACTTCAATTAACATATATCCCAATAAAGTTTGATTTTTTAGACTCCAGTGTCAACTTGGGAAGATCACCAGTAAGCAGAAGTCAAGAAAAATATTTGACTAACCGACTAACCGACTAACCATGGGCATGGCACAAAATGCAAGTCTACAATATAATAACAGGAATAAATTATAACACTATCCAGCTTTGCAATACTCATGATTGAAGATTTTTGGCCTCATTTTCCTTGTACTACATGTGAGAAAAAATAATGAAGTCCAATAAGCTGATATTAATTTAGCTGCTATTGAATGAGCTATCCAAGGCAGAGCAGATGCAATAACTCTACAATTGATATAATGTACTGGAATAAACAAGATCATTAACATGTAACAAATAACAATCATCGATTGATTACAATATACTACAACTAGAAATATGTACAAAAGTTACCAAATTCAAACACAGCTCAGTTGCATGAGAACAATGCACTGCGGTATGCATGTGCAGAAAACCATAATGGAAGTGTTGAGCTATATTTCACAGAATACATCTCTTTCCAAATTCGGGTCTTGTGATGATAAACCAAAACCTGCTTATGAGTTGCCAGGAGAATATATTCACTTGTCTGACTTATTGGAAAGATTCCAGGCACCATCCCTCTGATACACCTCAGACTCACCTTATCCACCATAGACCACTCTTCTTTCCAGTAATCATTTAGGACCCATATGTTCATCCAAGCTTCTGAAATTTGAATAATGGACAGGCAACCATTAAGCTCTAGGAGATATATTCTGTGTCCCATTCCATAAATCACATCATATGGCAATTGCATCTTTCTCCAAAGGTCACAACTTAAATCAAGCACAAGTATGTAAGCTGAATTAACAGTCAACCAATGCAGGGAATTATTGAAAAGAACAGCTTGGTTTTTATTCATGTGAGAGAAATGATCATCTTGGAATGAAATGAACTTTCTCCACTTGTTCAGCTCTGAATCAAACACTAAACATATGAAACTTCCATCTGAACGATGACCAAAGGTGCGATGGTAGCCTGCTAGGACAACTTTAAACATCTGATGTGTCAAATCACAGGCCAAACCAACCAGTGTTGCTTCACCATCCGGATAAAACCGAGTCACAGGCCTTTCCCTACTCTTGGGCAGCAACTTAAACTCACGAGTCATTGGATTACAGACGTAGTAAACACCTTTGTCAGGAATGCTGGAGCAACATAATAAGCCACAACAAGATGCTCTGACCTTAACTCTATCATTCAAAAATGCCAGAGAAAGTTCAGAGACACCCCTTAATTTATCAACACAAATCAAGCTAGATTTTGACTCTGATGCGTCTGAAATGTCCACAAGGATCATGGGTTCTTACTAGATATTTCATTGTAGAGTTGAATGAAATACTTGTCCGAGGACAATCTATTCCAGAGTTTACACACGGTTTTGCTCCTAAAAAGGGACTTGATGGGCAACCTTGCAAGAATCTGAATAACAACTTCCTCTGGGAAAACCCCGTCCATTCGCATATTCATGATTGAAACCCCTAATGCGCAAACAAACCTGGAATTTTGAAACGAAAACGTGTAACTTTACGGGCTCTTCTTACCGTGACAAAATTCGGGGATAGGCATCCGATGAAATCCCACCTGAAGAAATGGAGACGGACAGATTTTAGCTTGCGAATCGCAATTTAAAAGGAGAAAATCGAATTCATTCATCATTTTTCACAACATATCGAAACAAACGCATTCAACTTGGAGCAAAAATACATCCGAGAAAATAAGGAAGAATTGTGAATGGGTGGATCAAGCTAATGAAAAATTCGGAGAGGATGGAAATTCAAGCGGAAATGTGGACAGTGTTGCTGAAGATAAAAAGGCGACAAAAGTGAGAGAGGAGGGAATCGAAGGACCACTGGAACACGCAGACAGTGGACGAAATATAAGCAGCTGACGGTGGTGATGACGATGTGATTACCGAGGGATCATTGGACCAGCTCGTCGCAATTCCGTAGTTTCTTGGGCTTGTGGAAAGAACAAAACTTTTGAAACAGGCCACAATCAAGGTGAAATGGATTGGGCTGAAACGTGGCTTTTCTGAGTTTCTTTCATATACAACATGGTAGCCCCACAATGGGAAATAACCTCCCCGAAGGGACAATGCTTCCCGGATGCGTTGACCAATATATATAGATATATATATATATATATATAAATGTATTTTTAGAAAATGGTTTAATTTTATTTTAATAGGCAACAAACAATCACCACGCCTTGTATTATTATTTTCGGCCAAAAATAACATTATTCTCTAAATGATTCTTTTCGGAAAACAAATAAACAATGCCGTTTATATTTAAATTATTTCTTAATAAATAAAGTCAATGTTCAAACTCGCGTCACAAGGCTCTGATTAAATTGCTTGGCAAAACGGGTAAATGAGTAAACTATTTTATAAATTTTAGATTAAATAGAATCATAGATTCTCAAATTATTTATTGTGTAAATTATTTTCTAAACTTTTAAAAAGAGTATAATCTAATTTCTATGGTTAATAAAAATTAATTTTAACTATTAATTAATGATATAAAAGAATGTAAAAAATTATATAAAAGACCCAAAAAAAATCATAAAAGGACCCAAAAAATTAACATTTGTATATTTAGAATCAAAATTAACTTTTATTAAAGTAGGGGCTAGATTGCATATATTCAAAAATTAAAAGAATAATTTACACAATAATTGAGTCCAGAGCTTATTATAACCTAAAATTAATAGGGTAATTTGCTAATTTGTCCTAAATAAAATATTATTAACTCTTGTAACAAAAGAAAGAACATATTATCATCTCAGATTACAATATGTGACTCCAACGGATCAGCTTGATAGAGAAAATTAAGTAAATTTTTAATCTTTTATTATAGCTAAAAAATTGTCTTTGATTATATATATATATGCATTAGTAAAATATATTAATCATATGATTAAATCTTTTAAAATTACATAAAATTTATAACATTTTACAAAATTTATTAAAAAATATAAAAATAAGTTACATGAATGTTATTCGACGTTTTGTTAAAATTACGCAGATCCTGAATCATTTTATTAAAAAAAACATCCTTGTATATTTTAAAGATAAAATTAAAGTATGTAATTTAACAAATCTTAAAATGTTTTTGTACTTAATAATTATGATGGTTCTAAAGTATTTGTATAGATCTCCCAATGAGCTTCATTGATGTTGGAGCAATGTAATTTTTCGCCTTTCTTTTATATTTTATAATGACACAACATCTTTTTATTTAAAAAAATAAAAAAAGTAATTAATGTTCTCTAAAATTATATCAAAATTCAGAAACAATAATTGTATTGAGTTCAGAAACAGAAAATAAATAAATTATCACAAACTTTTGAGAATGCTTGGGCAGTATTTATTTTAAAGAAATATTTATCATTACCGATATAGAATTTTGATGTCAAAATGAACAATGAGCCATGAATATGCTCAAGATTCCACCATTGTATACATTGGACAATGCCAAAACTTTCTATAAAACAACGACCATATATAAGTATCATTACCCTCACACGGATTGGTTCAAAGTTTCAATCTTTTTTATTCCCGGAAGCTCTCAAGACTCCAAAAAACCATCAACCATGTCCTTGGTCACAGAGGAGCTGAAGACCAGAGCTGAGGTGTACTATGGAGGCCAAGTTTGTAGAGACAAGTTCTCATTATTGCTGGCAGAGATGGGGCTACCAGGCGGCCTCTTGACGACGACGTTTAAGCAGAAGGAGGACAACATCATCCAGGAATGTGGGTTCGTAAAGGAGATAGGGTTTGTCTGGCTCAAGCTTCGTGAGAAGAAAGAGCACAGGTTCGACAACATCCTCGTATGCTTCGACACCGAGGTCACCGCATTCTTGGAGCCAAACAAGATCAAGAATCTCAGAGGCGTCAAAGCTAGGGACTTCCTGGTCTGGTTCACCTTGATCGAGATTTATGTGAGAGACCCTCCTCCTCCAGAAGGTTCCGTTGTCACCTTCAAGTCTCTGGTTGGCTTGTCCATGTCTTTCCCTGTGTCTCTCTTCAAATCAGACAAGGAACAACACAAAGAAGTGGCTCATCAGAGGGAAGCAAAAATGGTGGAGAAATGGTGGAAAACGATCAAACTGTGATTGATTAGGTTAAAAAAAAAAAAAAAAAGAAGAAGAAGAAGAGAAATCTACATTATTATTCATCAGTAGAGACCGTGCTGACGTAATATTCTATAGTTTTTAATAATTTTTATTGTTTGAGTGAACCTCTTAGTCCTGGAATAACACAAGATGGGGTACCCAGAAAAGAATATGCTTTCTAGAGATATGATCCAGAATATGCTTTTGAGTTCAAGTGCTTTATTCTCTTTTTCTTAGCAAATCCGTCACGTAACGTTAGAGTGTGCCTTGTTGTGTTTATATATGCATGGCATCATAAGGAATATGGAAAGGTCATTGTCAGGAGAGAGCCTTATCGCTTCTATTGGAAAGCCATGTTCATGATGATGAATTATTGACGTGCAGGAGGGATTCCTGTGTTTCAAATTCAATCACCCTCTAAACCATTAGGAACTAGCTTCGTTTTATTGCCTTTTCTAATTGGAGAAAGTTAATTTCATTGTTATTTTTTAGTATAAATGTTAGGTTAATAACCACCAAGAATAGGACTGTTTTTCAATTGAGATTACGTAGATCCGAAAGAGACACGTACATAAATACACTGATACTAAGTAAAGTACACTTATTGTATATGCATTTTATAATTGTAAATGAGTACTCATGCGTACTGTTTTAATTTGCACCTCCGTTGCATATTGCTTTGGTGAAAGAAATATGAGCATTTTGGGTTTTCAAGAGGAAATGTTCGCGATAACTACATGTTGGTCTATATTAATTAATTAATGAGGTGTTTGATGTTAATTGAGAAAGAATTAATAATGAAAAGATTTATGATTGAATTGTTAAAAGACATTTTATTTATGCATATAATAATTTGTTTTAGTATTTATACTATAATAATATAACTAGTATGTCTGTATGTGGCCCATATAATGCACGGGATGTTGGCAATATAAATAATAGTTTAAATAAATAATGACACTTATGATATAGTTAAAATCAATTAAATTTAAAACAATCTTTAAAATAAATTTGAAAATGATGCTAAAAATTATTCTAACAGAAAAAATCACTAAAAGAATCTAATCTCTATATTATATCAGAATAATACTTCATAAATAAATGAGTCAATCTCGCTTGATTATTTTTAAAAAGTTTGTTCACCATAGCCAGACAATCCTTGAATTGGTTTGTTGTCCATAGTGCAATTGCAGCATTTTATCATCTAATCCTGGCACTCATTTATCAAGATGATTACCTTCAGCTTGATAAATTAAATATTCTTCTATTCACAACGTCAATAAAAACAAACATGCATGCTTGTACTGAAAATAAGAGAATGAAAATAAGAGAATAGGATAGCATTCGCCTTCTAAAAATTAAGAAAAAGCAATAAATGAGGAATAATTTTGAAATCAAAGTATTAGTTTTTGTCATGGCAAATTACTATCATCAATGTGCACCCAAAAGACATAATGGTCCTTTATTGTTGATGGTGACAAAGAGAAGTTAATTGTATCACCAAGATTTATAACCTTAAAATTAAAAAGGGATTTGATATTGGTAAGACTGAATAATGTCATCTCACTTTTTTTTTTTTAAAAAAAAAAAACCTTTAAGAGAAAACATAGAATCATATAATAAATTGTGATTATGATTATAATTAACTGAAATGGAATAGAGACGCCAAAATATGACATCCATATACCCCTCTGGTTTTTAATTTCCAAGAAATCATTTATCTGTGCCAAACGGTTACCGAGATCAATCAATATATGAAGATGTGAAAAATTGGAATGAATAGAATGGTCGATCAATGAGAAGAACAAACTTGCACAATGCTAGAAAGGGGAATGGGATAAGCCCAGTTCTCTAGCTAGTGGCTATTGGACTACGAAGCCGCTTGACTGCAACGGGATGCAATTTGATGGAGCTTTGGTGCTAATGTAGCCCAACTTCAATGAAGAAATGATTGAAGACTCAAATTTGAAACACTAATCTCTAGCAAATAAGAGCAATGAGGTGATAGGTCTCTGGTTGGTTTGATATGGACGCGGAAGAAACTACAGAGAGGTATTTGAATTTAAAAAAGTACAATTGACCCACGTCCTATAAAATGTTGAGGAAAGGTTCAATGTGTAAAGAAGTGCTCCATGACAACTACTCAAAGCAATACAAGGTGAAGGAGTAAAAAAAAAAAAAAATTGTTTAGGGGAGGGGATGTCATGGTACTGGAAAATTTTTAACATTTTTAATTTAAAATTCAAAATTATCAATTATTACTTGAGAAATCATAATAGTAGATTAGATCACGAGAGAGAATATTTAGGGATAATGGCAAGTGGTTTCTAACAATTTTAAAACAATCATATTGTTGTTTTTTTAAATATTTTTAAAAAATAATGACATGGATAGCTTAAAATTGCAGCATTTTTGAAATTGCACACATGTCAAACATTTGCTTGCAATTCTACTTATATATATATAATATTTAATATTTATGAAAACTTTTAATGGGTTGATTTATTGATTATATTTGTAATTAATTATAGACATTCTTCATATCATGTTTTATAATATTGAAAATTACTATCTTATACTTCCTTCATCCTAAGTTAAAAGATAATTTGAGATAAAATTATGCATATCAATAAAAGTTAATAATAATATTTTATAGATTTATTTTTTCAAAATAAAATTATAAAATTTTAAAAATGTCCAAAAACTTAATCATTATACTATAATGTCATTTCAATTCTCTCTTCAGTTAAAGGGTAATATAATTAAAAAAATATCATTAATGAAATATTATTTCTCTCAAATTGTCTTATATATATTTTGGTATAACAAAACATCTCTAAAGTTTTTGAGATTGAGAGGGTATATCATATCCAAGTATACTTGTTTGTATCACTAATATCGGAGGGCACACTCTTATATTCACCGTGTTTATTTCTCATATTGTTTGCATTATAACTAATATAGCAAGTCCCGTGCAATTTTTTTTAATACTGGATTAAGCTATCAATTAGATTTTTGATCTAATAACATGAATTAGCTTCCTCATACCCGTGGAAGGTCATGAGTTGAATTTCGCTGTCTACTTAACCATGTAGTAATAAAAAAAAAAAACTTTAGTCTAAAAATTTATATTTCCTTCATTAAAAAATATAAAGCAATTTTACTTATTCAAAGTATAATCATTATCTTTTTTTTCAAAAGTAACTTATTGAATAAATTATTTTTTATTTATTTTAGGGTGAAATATCTTATTAAATAAAGATAAAAGTGAAAAGATAAGGTTAATTAGAAAGCAAATAATTACTTTATTGGAGGGTAAAATTCAATTAAAAATACCTTATATTTTTTAGTGAAGGAAATATAATTTTTTAACTCACACTTATTATATTTATATATAAAAATAGATAAACAAGTATCTTCTTATTTTAAATTTTAAGATCATAAATTTTTGACTTATTTATTATGCAAATTACACCTCCAACTTTTGAATTATGATGATTGTCGTTATTTTTTTTGTAGTGGGGCCCACTGTTTTAGACGACGTGGCGTTCAATCAAACCATCTTCTCTATCTTAAGAAGTAACAATCAAATGCATTTTTACTCAGTTTTAGGTGTTAAAGTGCTCAATAAACAAATTCAAAGTTTATAATATTATTGAATTTAAAATTTAATAAATAATTTGCTCATTTTACCTATAAAAATTCATAAAACACACACGCAGCCAAATATTCTCAACATAAATGGAGTATTCATATTTTTAAAAATATTGCAATTTTTTTTTTGAATAAAAGGCCACAGTAAAACTATGCAAGGACCGGAATTAGGCAAGGTCAAAAGTTATAAGGCTTATACAATTAATTGGCGGTATATCAAAAAGACAAGTATCACAATTATTTGGTGATGCCTTGTGTGCCATAAGGTCAGCGCATCTATTAGCTTCTTTGAAGACGTGCTCAAAAGTTATCTCCCAATTACACATGGTAATATTTCTTATGTTTCTGATGATGATTGAATAGGAGTGATTATGAGTATTGCTCTGGTTAATGAGAGATAAGGTCTTCATAGAATGAGAGTAAACATTGACTTTAGAGATTTAGGTGTTCCAGCAAAGTTTGAGACCTTTCGAGATTCCTAGTAGCTCAGCAATAGTGCTAGGTAGATAGCCAATGCTTTTAGAAAAACCCTTAATCCAATTGCCTTCATCATCTATAATAAGTCTACCACAAGCTGCAATTCCATTAAAGTTGACAGGGCCATCGACATCTAGTCTAACCCATCCCAACTTTGGTGAGATCCACTTAGTTGTATCACGAGAGCCATGATTGCTCAGAAGATTAACTTTGGATTGCAGCTTCATGTCATGGATGATTTGTTGCGTACTAGTGAAAGCTATATCGCTATCCAAATTATTTTCCTCAGAGTAGGTCTTCTTGCATCTTGCTTTCCATATGTTCCAACAGGTTTGTACAAAAAGTTTTTTACAGGGCCATCTCCTTGTGGATGTGCTTCCAACTTCATTTTTTGCGTTTCAAAGAATTTAGTCCTGTATGGAAAGAGAGAAGAAAGTATTAAATTTATTAGGGCTTATCAATTTTTCCCAAACCTCTTTAGCTACCCTACAATCCCTTAGAATATGAATGGAAGAATCAGAGGAGTTACAACCGAATGGGCAGGTGTATTGCTTATGGTTATTCCTATCAGAAAAATTGTACATGACTTTGAAACAATCCCAACTAGCTCTTCAGAGAAAAAAATTAATTTTCTCATATGTGGGCCATTTTCAAATTATAGACTAGATATGTGAGTATAAAATTGTAGACCAAATATTGCAATCTTTGCTGTTATAAAAAGCATTGTAATTACTGTAATTTTTTAATTTTGATACGAATGTATTGTATTATTATGAGTACGGAAAGATGATAATAATGTTATTTTTTTCTTGGTGAATGATAAGATCATTTTTACACTCCTTTCACCTTTTATAGCAGGACACTTTTAACTATTTTATATATAAATTTAATTTTTTCTTAATGTCATAAAATATAACATGTATTTATATTTGATTTTAAACAATAATATAATCATATTAAATACTTTCACACTAATAAAAAATAAAATAAAATAAATATAATTTATAAACATTTTATATTTTCAACTAAAAATTATATTTAAAAAGTATACTCGGCGAGTGGTTATTAACATTTACGACATTCTCCCGCCAAATTGCCCCGGACTCCGCACAAAACCCGGACCTCCGTCTCTGCGACTTCCCCAAAGGCATGTTTGGTCGAAGCAGGAAGGCTTCCCTGGGAATGTTATTTTCGTGGACAAGTTTGCCCCTTTTCGACTTGCCCTACGGCGATGGGATATGTACTCCCCCACCTCCCTTCACCATCCGAAACGACCTGGACCCGTCAAGTCAATGCAAACCGCTCTGCTTCTCCAGACCATTGCCGACCTGGTGAGCAACCTGCTTCGAATTTTTTCTTTCTCGCCTTGATTTGTTATGGATTTTCGTTCCATAGACTTGGTATCGAATAGGATTTGTTCTTTTATTTATTTTTGGGTTTTCTGCTGTCTGCATTGATTCTTCCTTTTTTGGGTTGAGTTGCTATGGGTAGTAGGAATATGGGGAACATATTGGAAGATGAAGGACTTATAATTTATGCTTTATGCTAGCCCTTTTTACTTTTCCCTCTAATCCTGGTAAATAGTTAAGTAACAGAGCAGGAAGATGACCCGTTAGTAGGTTTGTGTGTAATATTTGTTTGTAGAAAGAACTGAAGCGGTCAAAAGTTTTCCATGTATTTACTCTGTTCATCTTTGTCGAAGATTTGCCGACATTTTAATTTTATATGTTAAATTTTGCACAGAGATGGACCTCGCAAGGAGAGAATTGGTTGTTCGTTTATTGATTTGTTGGTTGAGTGAAGTTCATGCGGAGCGTGGATGGCTTTTCTCTATGTGTGGTGTTGTTGCTCTGTGGATGCGGAGACGTCGTTTAAGTGATGCCTCATCTTCCGTGAACTGTCGTTTAAGGAATGTCTCATCTTCCCTGAGCTGTCGTTTAAGTGATGTCTCATCAACTTCCACGAACTTCAATGCTAGGAGCGCTCACCTGAAGAAATTGGTTTGTAGTAGTGATGTCACTTGCTATAAGCTACTTAAAATGCATAGGAGAACATTTGACCAGCTCTGTCAAATGCTTGATAGTATAGGGGGACTAAAGCCTATTAATAATGTGGCTGTCGATGAACAAGTGGCTATTTGTGTGCATATACTGGCTCATCCTGTGAAGGATAGGGTCATACGGTTCAATATTGGGAGATCTGGAGAAACTGTAAGTAGGTATTTTTCTTTGGTTCTTAATGCTATAATGGAACTATATGAAGAGTTATCGAAGAAACCTGAGCCGGTGCCGGAGGATTCAACAGACGAGAAGTGGAAGTGGTTCAAGGTAACGTTGACACATGGTTATGTTTTCATGGATTACTACATTATACTAAAACTTTTCTTAGTTTTTCCAGCATTGTCTTGGAGCTGTGGATTGTGCTCATATCAAGGTGAAGGTGCCTCTGGCTGATCAAGTTAGGTATCATAACAGGAAAGGAGAAATCACTACTAATGTACTGGGGGCTTGCTCTCAAGATGGACAATTTACCTTTATCTTTCCTGGATGGGAAGGATCTGCGACTAATAGGAGGGTGTTGTGCGACGCAGTTAGCAGGAGGCATGGATTTAAAGTTCCTCATGGTGAGTGTTTCAACTTATGGTTTTGTATTGATCTGTTCGTGATCTTGTTCTTAAGTGTACTGATCATGTTCTTGCTTTCATAAAACAGGTCAATATTATTTGGTTGATGGTTGGTTCACCAGTTGTGAAGGTTTCCTTGCACCATACAAAGGTAAAAGATACCGCTCAAACCAATTGAGAGAAGAGCATTACCCTGGAATATTACATGAGTGCTACAACACGCGACATTCTTTAGCACTTAATGTGATAAAGAGATGCTTTGGTTTGTTAAAGCTGAGGTGGGCAATTCTTAGGAACCCACCTTTTTTCAAAGCAGTTCGTACGTACAATCTGGTGATATTTGCATGCTGCTTATTGCAAAACCTGATTCGTCAAGATGGTGCAGACCCACTTGAGGATGAATTAGCTGACATGGAAGGTGAAATATTCAACGAGCTTATAGGCAAAAGCGCAAAGAGATGAACTTGGTCAGGATAGGTTGACTGTGATATATGTTAGACCGTTTTTTGTGTTTTTTTTTTTTGGCCAAAGGATGAACCGATGGATAAGTACTGTTTTTAATTTTTTTGATTTAATCATGCCCAGCACTCGACTTTCCGTCTTTGAGAAAGTTGACTGCTTCATTAGCGTATTAGGACAAGGTGTTGTCATCCACCAAGCGGTACCCCGTATCCACCGTCTAAGCATTTTGCAGATTAACGGAGTGTATTTAGCTTATATTGGCACAAATATCAAGATATAGGAGCGAGTTATTAACAAATTTTTTTTTTTTCTGTCTATTCGCTGTCTTTACTTGATCATGTTCGAATTTGGTAAATTGGGGGTGTTTCTTCACTATCGTTGTTCGATTGGGTTCCGAACTTTTAGAATTCAACCAAAATAATCTCCTCCAATCTGCTTGCTTAGTACTCGAGTGCTCCAAGAATAAACTAATTTTACGGCCAATCAAGAAATTTGAACCATGATTCGTCGTGCTGGGCTGTCTTAAACTATTATCAAAGATGATCTTATCACATCTATTATAAATGAAACATTGGTATTTACATGTCGCTTACTCGTCTGAAATAAATCGATCTAACTTACAACCAAAAGAATTAAAAAAAAAAAAAAAAAATGCGCCAATACGCCATCCACAACCCGCCCCCAACTATACAACTTTCAGAATCCTACTAGAATGATTCACGCGTATGTAAAGTCTCAATAACGGGATGAACACAGAGGCGTCCTTCATTGAAAATTTGGTTTGACAATTTGAGAAGTTGCTTAGTATTCTTCCTTGGGTCCACAGGAAAGCAGCATAAAAGCTTGCAGCAAACCGTAATATGCAGTAAGACATAAATGCTTCCACTCTCAAACCTGTGAATTTTTTATTATAAGAAATATGCAGTAAGATAACATTCAGACTAACCCCGCGCAAATTTTCATGGGCGAATATTATCAAAGGACCATTAAAAGAATTTAATATGAAACAAGAACTTCTAAGTAAACATTAACAATTAATAAATGAAGTTCAAGTTTTAACAAGTATTTGATCGGCTGATCCATCAAAGTCCTTGTTAGAGTACCAACTATGCTAAACACGTACCTTCTCAAAATTCCTCAGAAGACTTTTCACACAAAAAATATAATAAACGGGCGCTCAAAAGATTTTCCAGACAACAAACTCGTTACATAAATTATTTACGCTCAATGAATGCAACAAGGTTCCCGTCCAAAAATGAAGATAACCAGCTTTCTTTGCATCAGCATCACTCCTTGCCAGGTAAAATATGTTTTGACATGAATGAATGCTGCATGCAGTTGTGTTAATATGCATTGATATACATGCATGTACTCAGTTGTGCGTGGATGCATACATGATCATAATATCGACTAATGGATAGCAATGAGTTACGCTTACAGATTAAAAGCCGGCACAGACCAAAAAAAGTTCAGGGCAATTACACATTAACACTTACCCACATCTGAGGTAATCTTAGGAAGACAAAGGACAAGGAATATAAAACAACTGAGATTGTTGTAGCTGTAACTATGTTGTATACAAGACGTTTATCGTCTTTGCTTGGCACAAATGCTATTTTTAGTTTATTTGTCAGTTCAAAGAGCCTGTAAGAAATCTGCGGGTAAACAGAATGTTAAATCAGAGTGAAACATTGTTCATAAAATTCCAATATTTCATTATCATGTACTTACTGCAATATATATAGAAGAAACGAGCATAAAATTCAACATTGGGTAGTCTGGGATTAAAGAAAGCAATAATTTGGGTTGACCATCTGGAACGCCAGACCTGAAATCAATCGGACATGGTATAGGAGAATTTATTTGAATAATGTAAAATAAAATAAAAAAACGTGCGCACATTTCCTCAAAAAAAATAAAATAAAATAAAACATGAACACTTGTGCATCTGAGCATCAACACCTCGTCACCCACTTATATACATGCAATGAATGTGAAAGGTGTTTCCTCCCTTTGCATCATGATTAATTAGTAACTGTAACCAATTATTTTAAGCAAACTTCAACTAAATTGCAACATCTGGTAATTACATGAGGCATTTACAGATTTGGGGTCACCTTTTGTAATATCAAGGACAACACTATGTGGGACACAATACATGAGCACAAATGTATACCTTAACCAGATATGGATCTGGGAGATGTAGGTTTCCAATGTGATCTTTCCAAGCCATCTAGCAGAAGAAAAGAAACCAACAAAGTAATTCATAAATTAGTATTCTAATTCAAGAACATCAATTAGTTCAACTATTATTTGACAGCATCGACAGATAAATTCTCATTACAAGTGTATGTACGTCAAAATGTATGAGAGAAATTGTTGTGCCCCGGAGACAAGAGAGGGTCGAATAAAAATTGAACAAACATAAAGACCACTTACGCAAAAAGGGTCAAAGTGTAGCCTCGGAAACTCTGTGTAACATTTCGCAGGCATATGTATACGCTGTTAAAAAAATGATACATACATGAATATCTAATGTCTTCAATAACTCAGCAAAGCAAAAGAACATTGTGGAAAGAAACAAATACGTTATAGGGATCCATGAGGTATATGGATGATATTTGTTGTAAGCAAGCTTGTCCAGCTTGTATATATACTCGAACCATAAATAACCGACCTAGAAATTAACCCAATTTGTCAGCGCTACAAATGAATAAAGAAAGTCAAAGGTTTATCGCTTACATGACATTAGAAAACCATTGAAGTAAGATACCAGTAAAGATATTAGCACAACAACAGCTTTGATTGATATTCTACGCTTGATTTCCATTTCCTCCAATTTCTCCATCCATCTTTCAACCTATCAAATTTCGTATCATTCATTAAGGAATTCAACTTAAAAGGAAAAAAAAAGAAGATAGGGATGTTCCTACTTAAGATTCATCAATCAATCATAGAAAGGGAGATCTGTAGAGTTTTTAAATTATTTCTAGAACATGAATCAGAAACTTACAGTTGGATGATAATAAGCATAAATCATTCCAATTATCCAGATATAGCGATCAAGCCCTGAGCGGAAATGCCATTCATGCAGACGAGGAAAGTGAGATTTTGCAGGGTTAGGATCAGTATAACCTGCACGGAATCCCAGACTCCCAGTTAGCATGACCATAGTGCTTTTAGATGTAAGGTAAACATCACAAAAGTTACCAACCAAGCAGGAAAGAAAATGGGCTCCAGACCCATTCAAACACTCCAGGTATCTCCCATACTAGTATGACCACCAAGAAGCAACCAATGATTTTTGCTGCAATAACTGATCCAATCTCGTTGTACTTGTTCAGAATAACAAGTGCCCCATAAACCATGAGAGTGAAAAGAGTATGCATAGGACAGATGTAGTATAACATATAACTGTTGTTAAGGACAACACAGCAGAACAACACCAAGAAATTAAGCCGCCACATCATCTGCTCAACCAGAAAAGCAACGTGAGGAAGACTTCACAGTCATAGCAGACTGGTTACCAAATATTCAAAAGCATGCTTATAGTTCAAGATATTGGCATACCTGTGCAAACCTCGCTAGACTAAAATCTTTCCGTATGTAATAATACGAGAAGTTCCCAAAGCCAGTCATCCAGACGTATGCAGCAATGAATATACGAATTGCATTATAGATCTCAGATGCAGCAAAGTAATGGTACATCAAGAACAAAACCTGTGAGCAAGAAAGAGCGAGACCACAAGAAAGGCACCATATGTCAACTGGTAGAAGCATCAAAGCAAGACATCAATATGTTTACAACTGCATTATAAAAAGATCAGAAGGTCCAAACCAAATTTAAATTGCAATTCCCTCGTACTAAATCTACTTGTGCTGCTTTTGGATTTTCTTAATCTAGGAGTTTCAAACTCAAATGTTTTCTGAAAGCAGAATGATAGGAGAATTCTTAGATATGGCATCATGAAGTAGTGTTCAACCTGCATCCAGCCTTTCCATTCTTCAGTCTGGTGCCTATTCAAATAAAGTATGGATTTTCCAGAGAATGGAGACTTGTCATGATGTATCTTAAAAGAAGTCATTGCAGAAACTATGATGAGGAGGGAATAGAGAAACCAGAAGAGATCCCTGTTGTAACTCTGGAAGAAAGAAAATTGTCAGTTTTCCCCAAAAAACATATCAATAATACACTAAATATGTAACAGAGAAAAAGATAATAAATACACCTGGATATGAAACGTCACAGACACACCAATCAGTAATTTGTACATGAAGGTTAAATCATTCCAGACAACATTTTATCTGTACCATGTGTAAATACAGAGAACCAAAAAGAAAGAGTACCAGGACATAATACTTGAGCTGGAGTGCTCAGTTGTGCTAGCCTAAGCCCACTAATGTCTGGCACTTACAACAGTGGCAGAATAAATATGTATTGATGCAACAAATAATGTTGTTATCCTATATCTAATCTTATATATATATATATATAAATAATATTTTCTTTTATTTTATGCTCAGTTCCACTCATGTGTCTGCAAATCTCTTTTCACCTTACTAACTTCCACCATTCAGCAAAACTTGTTTTGTCTTCATCTTGCAAAACTGAAGCAACAAATCATAAAGAACTCTAATAACCATGGTTTTCCCTCACAACAGTTATTTCAATATTAAATTGCGAACAAACTCCAAATAAAGGTTTCAAGCTTTCACCCATATAACCGTTTGACAACCTAATAAAGAAAACTACAAAAGAGTGTCTGCAATAGCTACATGTATGACAGAACTAGAAATAAAAATCAAAATAAAAACATAATCATACAGAAACATTGCAAAATCTCTTGATGGGTATTGGCTACAAAGCCACGGGAAACTTGCTGCAACTTGCACATGCTGAATAGCATATCCCATAAAAAATGGACGGAAATAACAAGGGAACTATAAAGATGAAGTAACAAAATTTACTAACCTTTTTTGATGAGTTAAACAGATCTGTACGATCACAGAAATAAAAGTAAGCCAAAAGGAGACCAAATTCAGACCTGGAACAGGGAAGAGCAAATGAAACGAAGGTCAGTATTTTGATGCAATTAACAAAGCATATTCTGAATCACATATTCTACTTACATTGCTCGAAGTGTCAAACGGTTTTCAATCAGAAAACTTTCATCCATCAAAAGGAATCTGAAGAAATAAATAAGAATGCCATAGTATACAAATTTAGATTAAGCAAAGATACAGCCATAACTACAGTAAGCAAGAGAAGAGGGTCCTCTTTTACAAACCGAAAAATTGGTGATGTGGAACTTCGAGCTTTTGGAGAGCCTGTCTGCAAGGCTCCCCCTTCTAATAAAACTACCGTATCCTCTTCTTTAACAGCACCACTACTCATTTCAACTAAATTGACATCCGAAGTCCTACTAGTAGCATCCAATAAAAAAAAATGTATCAGTAATAATGAAATGATGATAACTGATAAGTGCTTAATCGAACAAAATAAAATAACACTTCTGGGATGGCCATCTAACAATTTTTTTCCCTCTCTCTAAACTTATCAGGCAAATGAAAACAGATTAAAAATCTACAATTTGGAAAAAATCTACAACAAAGCACACAACTATAAATTAAAAATATAAAATTCTGAAATTCTGTCTAAAGAAGAAATCATTTGCACAAACACCAGGAGTAATAATCCATAACATAAGTCATTGTTAGAGAATCAAATACTTCAAAACACACGCTTGTCAATCCTACTGAAGCCAAGAGCTTAAATTTCCTACCTAATACATCAGACAGCTTAGAAATGCAAGATAATAATACAACACATTCCCCTGCGAAACATAAATATTGCACCAGCACGTGCAACTAGAATGGAACAATCAATCAAACTCACACTTTGGAAGTGAATGAATTTTTCCTATACTCCAATATCTCCGAATATATCCATGCGGCGACGACAGGAATAATTCCAAGCAGGCAGGAAACCTGCAACAAGAACAATGAATAAAGAACTAAGTTGAAAACAAACAAAGGCAACTGATAACAAGTTAGTTCATTACACTAACCTAACCATAAACACATCGAAATTCAAAGCTGCGCTACATTACAGAATACGACATTAAAATATAAAATAAAATAGTGCGAGATCTGAGAGCAGAAGCAGGAAGATGTACCTGACCAGGGGTCACGGGACTAGAGATAATCATATTGAAAAAGAGTGAAGAGGAAGAAGAGTCGGGTCACTGGAATCACGGTAATTGGCGCAGAAAACGGAGGAGCATTGAATGCGATGAAGATCGGAGAGCAGATCTAGCAGAAAAGGAGAAGAAGGAGAAGAATTTGCGGAGAAACAATGGCGGCTTTGTTCAGTAAGAGAGAAGAAGAGAGCTAGAGAACGGGAGAAAGCGAGATAAACCAAAACGAGTTCAAAGCACACACCGACGTGTTTTTCTTCTCCATAAATGTGATGTCCCACTCGGGATAGTCGTTGAGAATGCGCTCTTTCGCCGAACCGATTCACTCTTCTCTACTCAGTTGAAAAAAGGGAAAAAATTAATCACTTTCTCCATTTATTTAAAAATATAAAATATTTTTAATTAAATCTTTCTTTTAAATAAAATAATTATCTATTTTTTAATTAAATTTATTTTTTTACATTTACTTTCATTAAACACCCTATAATAAATATAAAGTCATTATTAATAGAGATATTTTTTAAAAAAAAGTAATAATTACACTTCAAAAATTAAAAATGCCTTATATTTTTTAACATCCAACTTCTCAAAAAATACCTTACATTTTTTAATAGAGGGAGTAGCTCATATAATTTTAACTCAATTATAATTTAAATTTTAAATTTCAACTCATTATAATTTAATTTTTCTAATTTTAATTCAGTTATAATTTAATTTTTATAATTTTAATCACTTAAATATTGACCCTTATATTTAAAAAAATAAAATTATAAAGATTGAAAATATTTTTAACTTTTAATATTTATAATAAATATTAAAAGGATTTAATTATTTAAAATATTAGTAATAATTTTTTGCATAATTTTAACATTCATAATTTTATTATTAATGTTATAAATATTAAATTTTTAAAATATTATAATTTTAATTCTTTAATATTTAAATATTATAAATATTAAAAGTTGAAATTATTTTTAATCTCTATAATTTTATTTTTTTAAAATATAAAACTAATAATTAAGTGGTTGAAATTATAAGAACTGAATTGTAAGAGATAAAATTTAAAAACTGAGTTATAATAAGTCAAAGTTTAAAAATTAAGTTATAATTGGATCAAAACTACAGGACCAAATAATTATTCTTTCCAAAAGTAAAACAGAGGGACATAATTTTGTTAGAATTTATTATTAAAAATTATAAAAAAAGAAAAATTAGAATGAAAGATTAACGTAAGTGTGATTTTTTTTTAGCCAACTATCAAGGTAACTGTAATTAATTCTTATACCTTAATATAAATTTTTTCAATGATTCCTTAAAATTAATATGGAGTGATGTATGAGTTACAAAAACACTCTTTTAAAAATAAGGTTGTGTAATTTTCAATTCCACACACAAAAATAAAAATTAGTATTAAATTTAATTAAATCAGTGTAATTTTAAAAAATCTTTACTTTTACATAATTGAATCAATAAAATTTTAAAATCTTTACTTTTAAAAAATTATTACATTGTGCCAAGAAAATCTTGTTTCAATCTCTACTCTTATAAATTTTCAAATACTACAAGTTTCTGGGCATTTGTTTAGCTTTGTTTTAATTTATTATTTATCATCTCCTTATTATATATATATATATATATATATAAGAAATAGTTTTTTTTCTCAAATAATGTGTTTTTGCTTGTAACTGTTAAATACAATGTATGAGATATTTGTTAAAAAAATATATTAGATTTAATTAGGATTAATTTAATATTTTTAAATTTATATTTTACTATTTGGTCCTTCCAGATAATTACATTTTTAAAACTCTCTAATAAATATTATCTTTTCTAGATTCATGTTGTAATTTCCCCCATTCTCTTCTGTTGCGTCGAGTGGAGTGGAGAGAAAAATGCTGTTAAATTAAAATCCCTTATATTCATAATTCATAAAACGAATCATAAAAAAAAAAAAAATTGTTATGATTGAAGAAAAAGAGCAAATGTGTGTAATGTAACGAGTAACCACAAAATTCGCATTCACGCTTTGGGATTTAACACGAATCAATCATCGTTGGCAGAAGCATTTAGCTAACGTGATAACCGGTTGTTTTAAAAAATAATTTATATTTTTTAAAACTTTTATTTATCTTGATAAATGAGGAAAAAGAATTAATAAATAAATAACGGAAAAAAAAGGATTAATTTAGCACGTGGAAAAATATTTAGTTTGAAAACAAAAATTTACTTTATTTATAAAAATTGTTAAATTTAGTAAAGCACAATGACTATAATATTTTGAAGAGTATCTTTGTTATCAATGTTCTGTTTTTTTTATTTAGTTAAAAATAAAGGGTGAATCACATTTAAGGACCCCTCAATAAAATTATTCATCGACAAGAGTTAAGACGAAACGGATTGTTATTAAAATGAGAATATAACTTTTTTTTTTCTCAAATGAAACTTATTGTTAGTCATTGTTTGTGAATAATTTTCTTAAGAGATCCTTGAATGTAATTTTTTCAAAAATAAAATATGCTTGATAGTGACCATTGGCATCTAAAAATTACTTTTATATTACAGTTTATAACAAAAATAATTAAAATGTATTTCTTATAAATAAGCAGAAAGTAATATTTTTTTTTATCTATATAGTTTTTAAATAAGATTTTAATTTTAGCCCGGGTAATAATGGGTTTCAAACCTTCACAGATTCTCATGGCAATTGCTAACATAGTCAACAATGTTTACTAATTGTGTAAGCCAAAATTGAAGCATTGGATTCAATTACAAAGGTTCTTGAAGTCCAAACTAAAGAAAAAAGAACTCAGCCCAATTATAGTTCAACTTGACGAAAATAAGTTAGACGATGTGTTTTAAAGGAATGTCTGATAGAGTCTTATTCACTCCTCATACTCTACAAGATTCTCGACTTGTTCATGCTTACTACTTTGCATGATGGAGCTCCCTTAAGGAGCTGAAGGCCTAAATAGTTATTTACTTTTAATGGCATCAAAATCAAAATTTAAAAGGAGCACACCATTATCATTTTGTTATAAACAAACAGCAATTACATAATTGAAAGGACACTCAACATTAAGGGTGTTTAAAACCGATCCAAACTGAAAGGACTGATCCAAACCAATCCAAATCGACAAAAACCGATCAAAACCGAACAACAATCAGATCTGCTTCGATTTTTATGATATAAAAATCGATTGGTTCGGTTCAAGTTCGGTTTTGAGTACTAAGAACCGAACCAAACTGAACCAAACTTGATTAAAAAAATTCTATTTATTTATTTGTAAAATATATAACCATTTATCTACAAGAAGCATTTTGTTTTGAATTTTTTATTGTAATCAATAAACATTTTTAAAATACTTGAATGAAAATGCATAATATTAAGTAATTATAATAATCATGCTATGATCATCATTTAATTATTTACAACCTAAAAGCCTCAGCATTCAATTTATCTACAAGAAATATTTTGTTTTAAATTTTGTATAATAAGTTTTTCATTATTTATAAAAATATAGATACATAGATAAGCATTTTCAAAGGATTTTAATGAAAATATATAATATTAAATAATTTTAATCTTAAAAACTTATATCAATTTTTATGATTAATTATTGTTATCACATTGAAATTTTATTATATTTTTATACCTCTATTTATGAAAAAAAAAGGAGTTAAAAAGAATTAAATTTAATTTTAGTACATAGCACCATTATGAAGATGGAGAAAAGGAAAAAAATTAAACAAGTGCATTAAAACTTGATCAAGACCTTAACCAAACCGAACCAAACCGAAAATAAAACCGAACCAAACCAAACTTCATAAAAATCGATCAGGTCTTAATTATCAGTAAATCGAATGGTTCGGTTCGGTTTGGTTTTTGCCCAAAACCGAACCTATGAACACCTCTACTCAACATTCTGTCAAACTTACACTACACTTGCCCAATTCAATTACTTTATTTTTGACCTTGTGTCTTCTTCAACCTTGTCCTATGCAACTTATTTTTTTCTATGTAAAATTAATTTCTTAAGCTAGTTTCTCAAACTTAGCAATTTCTCTATATTTAAGGAAACCTTCGTTCTATTTACTTTTTCTTTTTCAAGTAATACTATTGATTTTTATGTCCTCTCACGACATACTCGTTATTGTTCTTGCAAATCACTTGACTCTCTAAGAAATTGATTTTGGGAACCCATTTTAATTGTCTGATTATGATTTACTCTTTTAATGGCACGCTTTCTTGGTACATTCAAATAGTTGTGACGCTCTGATCCTTTCACTAAAAATCATGCAAATTCTAATGTACAAAACATATTTATAAATTTATATATTTTTATCACTAACCTTAGCTTTCAATGTCAGTCGCAAACAATTGTCCTTGTATATAATTTGAATGAGATTCATACAAATAAAAAAAAAAGTTGTTAAAAATATACATAAATTTTCTGTTCAATTATATTATTTTCACAAAAATTATTTATTGATTGTGTTACAATTGTGTTATGGTGTTTGTAACGATGTTTTGCAATTCCCCCACTGAAATATAGTAATGGACAAATCTTCAGGAGGTGTGAGAATTTGAGCTTGATGTGTCTTCCTCTTGCTTGAAACGGAAATTGGGCATGTTTTGTAGTGGATAAAAAAGCGGGTACTAGTTGGCAAAAGGACGAGGAAGGGAAATTGGCTAGTCCTTGGAAGAAGCGTGCACACATTTGATACCCAACAATGTCTCAAAACATGATTATTTGAATAAGACAATGCTTGTGAGTAACAAAAATGTAGCAGTAGAAATAGGTACAAGGAGCAGTACCTTATGGCTAGATTAATTGAGATTGGGTTGAGATGGAACCTTTTTAAGTAAAGGCTTTATTATCAACGTTGGTTGTTTTTAAAGCTTGAATACAAAACTAAACTAGCGATTATGCGGTAGTGTGGTGGTGATTTTGTTTTTGTTATCAGAAAATGGTTAAAAAAACGCAATTTCCGAACCTCGGGGGTTGAAATTGTATGTACTACTCTACACAGGTTAGTTTTGCAGGAAAAAAATCTACAGGAAAATTACTCCATAAATTATTGAAGTCCTTTTTTCCTGTTTATTGTTTTAGGAATTATATAAACAGGAAAGGTGTTCTTAAATGGCACGGCTTTAAAAGGAGAGATTTGAGAAGGGAATAAGAACAAATATGGTAAGGAGCTGCTTTCTCCCATTTTTCCATGGCCCATGATGCCACTTCAATATTCA